AATGAAAGTCTGAATAGACAAGGTCATGTTGGGTCCACATGAAAATCAATTTATTTAGTTAAAAGCTTTAAGGTTCATAGAGCGATCTTAATTAAGAAACCAAGCCCATATTCATACTGCCCTATGAATACAGTAGAAGTGACGTAATTATGGTTATTTTTTTAAATAGAGGAGTACAGACCACACCATTGGTATACTAATTACTAGGGCTAAAGTAAGTTTAAAAAAAGAAAGGTAATTATCTGCTTTAGCATCAGCAAATGTCTTTAACATAAAGACATATAATAAATATTGAAAATAAATATGTATAAACCATTACTTAAATTTTAAAACTATTAGGAATTTCTAAATATTAGAGGTATTAATAAAAACTTTTATTAATGTTTTTAATTATTAATTTTAATAAAGTTTGAAAGAAACTAGGAAGTGACAAGTTATGTACAGACATTAAGAGCATTAACAAAAATATTTAATTAAAAGTATTAATATTAATAAATATTAAAAAATATTAATATAAAAGTAAAGGAAAAACAGTAGGCACCTATTTCGAAAATTGCATTACCTTCAGCTAGGAATACGGAAGCTGTAAGTTCATATAAAAGGGATTCAATATCGAAAAATTGGATCCCCTTTAACAACTGCAAGCTCTTTGTAAATCCCCAGAGCTTTTAAGACAAAGTCATTACATTATCGAATTACACAAACCAATGATTCCGGCGGATATCTCAACTATAGACCTTCCGAAAATCGTTTGCTTCACCAATTACAGCGTTTGATATTAACCCGTAGAAACTCAAATTCGGTAGTATGGTAAAAAAATGGCCCTATGCAACCATGGAGTTTAATAAAATTAAAATGAATAAGCGTGCCTAAGAAGAAAGTTCTTGAACGAGATTAAAATATTAATATATAATAACATACATATTAAAAAATGTATGTAAAAAAATATGATGATGTATTGTGTTATATCTTATATATGTTATATAGTATGTACTCGTACTTGATAAGAAATATTGGAAGTAATGTATTAAATACGTATTCCGAATATGTTACCATACAGAGCGTTGTGGCTATGTTTGTTATGACAAATATATAAAAATTTAAGTTTTACTTAAAATGTCACTAATATAAATTTATAGTTGCATAAATGATATAAGGGTAAAAATCCTTGTATGTTGCCAAACTAAGAAAATTGATATACTTATATATAGTGTATGAAGGCTATGTATATTAGCTATATAAATAATGGTACCATATATGATACTATATATATGAAGTACTTTTAATCACCAATCGACATTTCTGCAGAATAGTTTGATATTTTTAATCATCACCAAATTCAGTTCATATTGTCAGTTGAGCGCAAAAATTTTTATTTCTTTCAAGAATTATTGGAAGAATAGATTATATATATCCTTTTAAGTCTTTTACTACTGGTGGAGGAAAACTTAGGATTTTGTTTTTGTTTATTAAAAGAATTTTATATATTTAAATGAGTTCTTTTTGAACTGCCGCTATTAATATTTTAAGGCTAGTTGGACTATAAATAAGTGTACTTCTTGAATAAAACGCACTATATGAGTAGTTATAAGGTACTGGTCTATTTCAATTATTTATCCGTTTATATACATTTTCTACGACATATGTGCCTAAATAAACTATGATGACATATATTGCGGCAACATTGATTAAATTAATGTTCATATTTGAACAGCGATAAAGCTGTATCCTTTGCAACAGTGAAACGTTGATGCTAGAAAACATGAATACCATCATAAACTGAGAATATAAAATCGTCTCGCAATATTAAGTAAACTATAGACATATATATAGTCTAGTCTATAGTCTTGTTTGATTTCATATAATTTGAAAAAAATTGTGTCGATTGGTGCAAAAAATTATTCTGGAATTATATAGAAGCTGATAATATTGGTGGTTTATGATGAACAAAATACACCAAATGTGGTTTCTATTTAAAGCACACTAACAGACCATCTGTTTTTGCAGAAAAACTGGGGTAACTTTGCCATTAAAAGAGTTAACATATAATTTCTCACCACTTTTTAGTTGTCACATTTCGGCATAAACGAGTGACTGAGCACTCAAAACTTTGAATTAATGTGCATCCGTCATATAATTTATCTGATTTAGTATGCAATGAATTTTTGTTGGTTTAGGAATCCGTTCATGCTTTCAAAAACTATATTTGGCAAGTGATTTGAATGCATTAAAAAAACGTTATGACAAATCGTTAGAAGGGATACAAAATTGTATAGATCATAAATGAGAATAGTTTTAAAAAATAAAATTGTATAAATGGTAAATAGCTGTTTTTTTTATTATTATTATATGCCGGAAATGATCATAAAATAATTTTTTATTATTGTAATAATAGCACGACCTAAAGCCCGGCAAAATTTAAAACACATAAGTAAAACTCATAGGTTGGAACTAATACAAACATTCTAATAATAGCAATGTTTTGGAAGCCATACTCTTTTAGATCTAAAACATATGTAATTATATCATTAAATGCTCATTAAACCAGATCTAAAAGATTTAAAAACACATTAGTAATTCTTAACATCCATATTAATAATCAATTTAAGTATTATCTTTAAATCTGAGGTATGTTAAATCAGGTTACCTAAATGATCAAAAATTATTCATCATTAGTTGCTAAATTTAAAAAATACTTGTATTAGAGCAGAGTAAGATTGCAACAACACCCAATGATGGTTGGGTGTACTAATAGTACTAATTACGATAGTACTATTACTTCTTCAGAAAAATATATTTAAAAAAATGTAGACATTAATTTGTATTTATAAACTATTCACGAAGTTGAATTTAAGAAGTCCAACACTAAAAGTTATATGACTTATAATGCAAAAATATTGACTTACGACTTGTGTTTTATACTAGATTAATTTACATGTTCAAGGCTACTTGTGTTGTGTAGAAACATTATTTGCCTGGAAAAAGTTAAATAGACCAATTAATGTACTCATGCTATAATAAAATTTATTTAAGTAATGACTGTTTTGTTTTGATAGAATGTGTTTAATGAATAAATTAGAGATATTAGACACATACTTAGTGAAGGGATATTCTAGAATAAATAGCGAGAATCAAGTAATGCTAGAATATGTAAGTGATATAGAATCTAGAATATATAAGTGTAGCCCCGTCTAAAGCGGGGCTACAGTAGAAATTTAAAGGGGCTGCTATATGAATCAAAGGAGGCTAATTAGATGATCTCTGCTTTTGGATTAAGACTTGATTTTGATGTTTGAGGTAAGATTTATCATATAGTTCAGCTCTTTTGTTCATATATACAATTATATCGAAGGGGAATACATAAATCTATTAAATTTGAGGATGGAAAAGTGTAAATAGTGAAATTGGTAAAAATCGTCTGTTATTTTCTAATAATTTATTAATCCAAAAACTTAAAGTAATAAGCGCACAACTAAATATCCATATTAAGTACCCTGACGATTTTATCAATAAAAATGTATAAGGGTGTAATACATTTTAAAATAAATGCTTATATCGTGATTTCTTGTCACAAAAATTTAAAATATTTTTAAAATAATATATTGAGATATATACATTTATTCGTAACATGAATTGAAGCAACTTCTACTTCTAACTAAAAAAAGCTTAGTTACTACCCTAATCAATAGAATTTCTCGAATAATACATTATTATTTCCAACTCTGTATATCTCGAAGTTCAGTTGGAATCACTTATAGTGAAATAATTAAATAATCTGCGATCAAATATAGAATATAAAGCGCAATAGTGATATATGAAAAATATTACTGGAATTTAATTGGTACCGGGGAAGATAAAGAACTGTAGTAAATATTAGGAGAGAGAGCTGGACCATAGTCAGTACTAGACTGACTATAATATTTATAATTATATTAAATAATATAATTTTCAGATAGAAATGATCAAATAATACAAAAATATTACCAACTCTCTATATCTCAAAGCACACAGTTGGAATCAGTTATAGTGAATTAAATAAACAATCTGCGATTAAATATAGAATATAAAGCACAGTAGTGATATGAAAAATATTACTAGAATTCAATTAGCACCAGGGAAGATAAAGAACAGTGGTAAATATTGGAAGAGAGAGCTGGACTATAGTCAGAACTAGACTAGTCAGAACAGGGAAAATAAAGAACAGTGGTAAATATTGGAAGAGAGAGCTGAACTATAGTCAGAACTAGACTTACATCTGTTTATTTTTTGCATTTAGTTTAAATATTATTATAATATTAACTATATTTTTTTTGTTTAAATCTATCACTCGAAAAGTTAATATAATCTGACTCCACAACTGTAAAAAATAGTGCCCTAAGACAAATCGTGCACTCAATAATTCGTCTATTCGATATAATTATATTGTTTACATTTAATATTATTTATTTATTTGTGAGTTAATACTAAAATTAACTTTAAAATTAACTAAGAATAAGCAATTGGGCTACTAGATCCTTCGTCCTCTACATTTAATATTCATTGTTTATTTGAACAATAAAACGTTAATTTGTTTCACGCTTATTTATTCTTCAATTTTGTTTTGTTAATATATATGCTATTATATATTATACAATTACAAATATGATGAATGAATATTATTTGAAATAAAATTAAACAAAAGGTAACATATACTTTCGAAAGTAATCTTAAAGAAATAGGTAGGTAACAAATATTTGCACGTTCCTTATTTTAGATCCTTTTACCTTGTACCTGAATACATATATTTGTACATAATTTTTGAAATTCTATAAAACCTAAATTATTTCAAACAAATGTTTAATCCTTATTTGTCCTTCATAGTTCTGACATCTTAACAAAATTAAATTATTATGTGGAAAATTTTAATTTTTGTTCTGTTTATAAGTACCTTTTGCGTGTCGTTGCATGATTCAAAGAATCGAATTGAGGTCTCAGGAACTGAAGATATAAAACGCAAGCTAATGAGGTAACTTTTTAATTTTAAAACTAAAATTTATACCCTTGGGTTTTTGTTATACCTATAGTGTGTGTAATATACATACTTATTATTGTCAGCAAATGATTATTATCTTTATTACATAATACTTTTAATATTTATAGAAATTCTGCTTCGAAATTTTTGATGGATGTTTATAATGAACTGAGTATTGAAACTGGAAAGGATGATAGAAAACACAGGCATAAACGGTCTATAGAGAATGAAAATTTTATTACAAAATTAGATCGTTACGAAATAGAGAATTGTAATAATGTTGTAACGTTTAAAAGTGAGTGCTTTACTTTTTTCTATAATTTTACATAATTGTAAAATAATTTTATAATAATAAAACATATATTATATGTAGGATAATAAATTTTAGTCCTAACACACATTTTTCTTTGTAGCATTTGGACATAATCAGCCAACGGATACAAAGTCCCTAATTAAGTTCAATATCCGCGATGTGCCATATGATTTAGAATTGCTGCATTCAACAATTCGTTTATATCAAGATCCTCAAATTGGCAAATATTCACAACAAACACAGAACACAACAATTACTATATATCAAAGGCTATTCAGCGAGCAGAATCAGAAATATGAATTAGTTTCAAGAACTTCAATTAACTCAACAACTACTTACAAAGGTTGGCTTGAATTTAATATCACAAAATTATTAGAATATGCATTGCATTACGGAACCCTTCAAGATGTTAACAATGATCATGATATTCTAGTAGGTGTTACTATTGAATCAGAAGAAATTTTTCCGAATGATATTGGCATTGTCGGTCCAAACGTATTATCTGATTTGCAACCTTTTGTTATAGGATTTTTCAATGGTCGCGATACACTTTTTGATAAGATACAAAAGTTGCGTGTAAAACGTGCTTTACCAAAAACTCGTGCTAGAACAAATCATTTTAGTTCAACAAAAATTATTTATGAACTGCCAAAGACTTGCACGAAACTGAACTTTACTGTGGATTTTGACCAAATAAAATTGGGACATTGGGTAATCGCACCAAAGAAGTTCGATGCATATTTGTGTGGAGGAGAATGTAACTTTCCTTTGGGATCGCAAATGAATGCCACTAATCATGCCATAGTACAAACGCTAATGCACCTTAAAAAACCAAACTTACCAAAGCCCAGATGTGTCCCAACAGTGTTAGATTCAATTTCCATTTTACATTACATCAATGAAGACAGTTTTAACTTAAGTAAATATCCAAGGAGTGTAGTCCGACAATGCGGTTGTCACTAAATACAACCTATTTTAGTAAAAGAGCTTACATACTTGTAATATTTATTAATTAATTAATATAATTTAAAATAAAAATTTTGTACATAATAATAATCACATAAGTAATTATTTTGTAATTATAAGCAAGTAAGTATTTTGTAATTATAATTATATCCAATATAATCCAATATAAAATATATCCAATATAAAAAATTAAATTTGAAAATTCTTGTACTTTATTCAACTAAAAAATACTATTGATATTTGAATGGTCACAAAAAATCTTTAAGAATTTTTAATATTAATCAAAAACGTATTTTGATTCATATTATATAATATTATATAATTATATAATATAATTTATACAATTTAGCATATTAACTCATTAACGGATTTGAGAATGCCTTACTTTCTGAATAAAATCATAATCACAAAAGAATCTCACATGCCAACCAACTAATCTTGTGGATGCTTATAGATATGGAGCACAACCAAATGCTGACAAAGAACATTTTCCTTGCTTATCATGCAGATGTACATCCAAACAGCGCCTTTATCGGTTGATATATAGTAACACATTATGAATATATTGGCGAATATATCAACAGAAAACCTAGGAATAAGGACTTTTGGCCCTAAACATTGCAAATTTTTTTGTTTCATGACCTCATAATTTATATTCATTCGGCTAACAAATGATCTTTATTTACTATTTTAATATAGTGAAACAAGAACCATTCTGTGGTATAATCTTGTGTTTAATAGTTACTTCCCACTTAATATCCAGTTAATGTATGTCCAAAAATCATGTGAAAAAGTTATCCAACTATAAAATTATCGCATTGAAGTGAAAATCTTGTTGAAGTCCACCACTTGTATTTCAATTCATCATTTCCTTTCCTATACCATCTCCTATATTCATTATTCATTATACTTCACATACTCTGATAGATGAATTTCGTCACATATAGAATATCAAAAAAAAACTTTTTAAAATAATTGGATGTGGTTTAATTACACTGCTACATATGTGATTAGCGCCTATATGTGTAAAAAGATACTAGCAAATAATGCTTTAATATTCAAAAAATATCTGAACAGGATTATTAAGATGTATAATTTTTGATAAAATAAAATAAGAAAATTATATACAAAGAATTTAATTTTTTTTCTTGCTTATAGTGGCGGCGTGTCTTTATGACGAAAGAAACCTTATTATTGCAATTTATAACATACATCTATAGAATTTTTTATACAATTAAAAACCAAGGTTTTGAATATAAAAAGTTTATTATTTATATATACGTTTTCTGTTTTATTAAAAAATTGTATAAAAATTATAATTTTTTATTGTCATGTTCTAATGAAACCACACTTAATGAAATAAATAATTTATATAATAAATCCTTATTAAATTCTTATAAATTCTTTCAAGCATACCTTCAATATATAGCTATTTTTAATAGTTATTACATTTTTTTTATAATAAAGAAATATAAAAGCCCTACACCCTTTTCTCAAAATCTAACCAAACACCGCCATCTTGCATAGCTAAGAATGCTTTCGGATCCAGTTTATTTATTGGTTCCGTTTTTGGATTAACTTTAACGATAAATTTACGAATCACAGCTGATAGTGCTGCCTTAGACTGTGTCAGAGCGAAACGCATACCTGTTAAAAATAGTACAAAAATGTATCATTTTCAATTTATAACAATCATTTTTCATTACCTAAACACATTCTAGGTCCATCTCCAAATCCAAGAAAAGCGCCCATATCGCGATATTTTTTCACTCCACCATTTTCTGGCATAAATCGCTCAGGATCGAATTTTTCAGGTTCAGGATAGATTTGTGGGTCATTGTGAATTGCATACAAGGGTAACATTATTGTTTCTCCAACATTTACTTTTAACTTATCACCATTTTTATTTGTGAATTCATAAGGTTCTGTACATATTTTCGTGGAAAACAATCCTGGTGGGAACATGCGTATACTTTCTATATTACAAATAAAAAAATATATTATTATATAGTTTAAGTTTAAGCATAAATTTAATGAATATATACCGTGGAAACAAGCATCGAGATAAGGCAGTTCATTAAGTTTTTCGAAACTCAATTCACCATTCTCATCAGAATTTTGTACAATTTCTTCATGTAATTTCTCTTGCACATCTGGAGAGCGAGCTAGCTGTAAGTGATAGAATTAATGGATTATATGTTTATTGTCAGGATTGGGAATACTTACAAAAAGCAAACAATGTGATATTGCCGTTGCGGTTGTATCTAAGCCATCGATGAGGAATGTCATTGTATGTGACGCTAATTCAATATAATTCAGTTCTTTTTTCTCCGACATTGATAACAAATGATTTAAGAAGTCCTGACGATCAGTTTTATTTTCTTGTCTCATTTTAAAGGCTTGTTTCATTAAATTTATAAAAAATTCTTCACAATGTTTTGGAAAGAATTTCGCTTTATAAAAGTTGATTGCACTTGGAAACAATCCAGCGAATATTGAGTAGATTAAAAATATTGTATTATTTTCAGCGAAAACTTTTACGTTTTCGGCAACCGGAATACGATCATTTGTAAAGCTTCTGGCATTAATGCCTAGTACAGAGTCGCAAACATTTTCTGCTGTGAAACGTAGCGATAGCTATAAAAAGATAATAAAAATATATAAAAAGATATTAGAGATAGCTAAGTAATAATAATAATAATTTATAAAATAAATATTTTATTTATAATTTAATTAGTAAGAAAAATTAAGTTAATATAGTTATCTATTAAACTTTCAAAAAAAATTTCCAAGTTAAGACTATATAAAAGAAATAGCATAGACAATAGCATAGCACATATTTTTTTAAGCTTGGAGTTTGTTTACGTGAATGGTTAAATAATTATACATATAATGAATAATTATATATTTATTTATTTTATTTGTCATTTAAAATTAATTTTAAAGTTATTTAAAGAAATAATTATATAGAGGTAATGAACTACAACAACAGAAATTCATTTTATATTATTTTAATTAATTGAATTTTTGGCTGACCATATAGCTCTTTCGAGTATTGCCAAATACCCATCATCAGTGGTCTTGGAAATAATTCTTCTATTTAATTATTCGTAAATAATTTTTTGAGACTACAAGTACCAGGAATCGAACTCGAGTCCTGCCAAATTTGAAGCTCAGAGTCAGTGCACCTTAACCAACTGACCTAAAGCAGTACTTGACTTTTATATTCGCATATTTTTCTGGAGTTTTTTTACTTTGCTGTGAAAGTTTTTATTAATAAATTTACTTGCTTTGTTTATATTAGAACGGAATCCTAAACCAGCTGTAGAACAATTGAATTAATAAATTATTAATTATATTCTATTCTGTTTGTAAAGGCATTATTTGTTATTATATATATATATATGTAAATCCTACAAAACTATTATTTCAAACTAAATATAAAAATAACTGCATTGGCGACATGAAACTATATTTTGATCGGATATAAAAGAATCTACAAGAGTCTCCTTTCCACGTTTTTTTTATTTTGTAGTATGAAAACAAATGTAAACAGAAATATATCTATTAATATTATTTATTTTACGCACATATACTTGTAATTGGGGCAATTTTATAGTTCTCTAATCTTGATCCTAAGCTGCTCTTAAATAAATAACATTGATAGGGTAAATTTTTGTTAAACAATTTTACTTACTTCCTTGCCATTGATTCCATCTTTATGCATCATCTTAATTTCTTTTTCTATGTAATCGCAAAAACTGTTACAGACCTTCTGCATAACGGAATAAGCTACTTTAATACGAGTTCCGGTCATACCAGGCGATACAAGGGATCTTTGTTCTTTCCAAGCATGTCCAGTTGCAATAAATGGATTGTTTGCAATCAGGGGATCTTTTTTAGTATCAACCTATAAACAATTTTTATTATATCGAACTATAAATATTTATATTTTTAATACCAATCTTGCAACGTCATTGTCATGGAAATGCTTAAAGGCGGTAACAAAAACTTCATGTACTAAGGCAGGATCAAGAATCATCAGTTGAGGGGCACGCATTAAAAACACAGAAACATAATTTTCATCGTTCTTATATTTACTAGAAGTGAAAATAAATTGAAAATGATTAATAGTATAAACATTGTACATTAAACTAAAAAAAAATAAAATTTAAGACAAAAGAAAATACTGTAACTTCCAATATTACATAAATTAAAAAATAAAAATACTTTGTCTTTGTAGAAATTATATATCAATATTTAAAAATATAAAAACTATATCTAGTAATCTTGTAAGTGCTTCATAAATTTTTTTGTAATTTCATGATAAACTGTGTTTAAAGCAATTAAAAATTTTAATATTTAATTATAGATTTTTCTACAAGGTGTGCTTGTGTGTAATTAAATTAATACGATTTAATGACTTTTTTGAATGTACTTGTAACAATAGAATTTTTAAATTAGTATTGATTTAAATTTGATTTAATAATGTAAATATCATATACTTATATGTAACCTAATATTAAATTAGAATTTAATATTTTTATTAGTTTACGCGTTCTATTTTAAATGAGACTCTACACAGTATTCACACAAATTTAACTGGTTTGTTTTTTTTGACCTTATACTAGCTATTAAATATAAATGTTTTTTAATATAGAAAGTGCTTTTAACTTAATCACAGAAAAACTATTTTAATTTTAATGTTCTCTATAAAATTAAAAATATTATCTTTTAAATTCATTAAAATTAAAATATTTTAGGTAGAAAACAGAATAATTGCATAAAAATGTTGAGACCATACATAGAGTTACGGAAACCACATGGCAAATAATGAAGAGTATCAGTAAACCTTAAAAAATCTATTATTCTATTAATTTTGTCTCCAACTGATACCAAGAGGGACTTATGCGTGGCAACTTGATAGCAACCAGTGTAACTTACGAATTAAATAAAAATTATAAAAAAAACATTGGCACTTGGATTTGATGTTTCAATATTACCTAGAATGTCAAAAAAAATTTCAATATCTCAAAAATTTATATGAAAAATAAAAAATTACTGTAAGTTTATGGAGATAATTGTAGTACTATAAACATATTATAAGACGTTAGGATATAAAAACGAAAAAGATTATTTTCAAAAATATTTTGTGATTAATTAGGATTTTTAAGGAAATGCTCATAAATTTTTAAAACAACTTAACTATAAAAGAAAGTAATATCCTAAAAATATTTTCATTTTTTTCTCTTTTTATTTCTTAATTTTAAATTTCTTTATATCAGGAAAATATGGCAATCTATTTGGACAAATTGTGTTTTATTTATTTAAGTTGTTACAAAAGATTTTTACGAGTAAAGTTTTGTTTAACCGCATCCATCTCCAGTGCATTATTTGAATCCATGTATTTTGTATTACTTCACATATTCACATATAAATAACATATATTTTAATACGAGACATTCTGGATTTTACAATATTATTTTTTATCGTTTTCTAATCAAATTTAAAAGCTATTGTTTATTAATCAATATTTCCTTTAATTCTCATTTTCAATCAACAATTTTTTATTGTCTCAGATGAAATTTATATAAAAGTTATTATTATACAATATTTACAAAATAATCTGATTGTGCTCTTATTATAAGTGCCAACTAGTGTTCGTACTTCAATCTCATCCAGCCGGTTTTTGTATCTAATTGTCTATTCAACAATAAAAATAGCAATAACATGTACAATATGTCTATTTAAGATTATATATCACTTTTATTAACCAATGTACATAAAATTTATTTTAGTATTATATTCACGGTTAATTTACAAATACTTCACGGTTAATTTACAAATAATAAAAGTCGACAGCTGTTCTGAACACTCTAAATTTTAATGCCTAATTTAGTGGTAGTGAAGTTAAAGTTTGTTCAAATTAATTTCAAAAAAATTTTAGCTTAATTTAAATCTTAATTTAACTTAATTTAAATTTAATTTTGTCTGAAACTTATTATATGAATAATAAAAATTTATTTATTTATTTAAAAATTATTATGGTTCGAATTTTAATTAAAAACATAATGTATATGCATATGTTTTATATAATTATATATAATTACTTTTATATAATTATGTTATTATCATTACTGTTATTATATATATTATTACTATTATTTCTATATATTATGATTTATTATTCAAATGATGTTAATATTACACAATAATATATTAGTATCTCTTCCGTATTCATCTATAATTTTTTAAAGGTAAGAATGAGTCTTAGTCAAAAATCTTTTATTAGTCCAATATTATCCTTAATTTTCATGTATTATAAAAAATCATCTATAATAAAAAAAACTTCAGATAAAAAACCTGAACAGAATTAATTTAAGAAATACATGTTTCATAAAGTTCAGTAAAGGAAGATGTTTTAATGTAATGTTTAATTTAGTCTATCTTAGGAAGTTTGAGAGTTTAGGGTATGTAATATATTTTTTTAAATTTCTGTTCAATTTTTATTCCATACTTGAAATAAATGCAGTGTGCATTTTTCAAAAAGTTTTTATATTCCCTTTCTGTTTTTTACAACAATGCCTTATTGTCTTTAAAATGCTTCCTGTAAATAAATTCTGTTCGTATAACATACCATTCTACTACAATATGTTCCTAAAGAAAGTTACATTTCATGAGATTCAAGAAACATTCTTTGACAAATGACTAACGTTATTAAGTATTTTATAAATCATGTACGTTCAGTAGTAGGTATGGATATAAGCTCCTTAGACGTCTAAAGCCACTAAGTATATTTGTTTCTTAAATAATATTATTGAACTTAATGTAAATATAAAATGTATTTGAATTAATAATCAAAAAACTAATTAACTATACCACTTGGAAAAACAATAAACACCAATATTAAACTGTTCTCACCGTGTAGAGTGTAGAGATCAGAAAATTTGAAAAAGCCAAACATATCATATGGAATAATAATACTTGAATATCTAAGCATAGACTTGTTCAAAAAGTATATTCCAGACAATGTCCTAAAAGCTATTGCAGAAAACAAATTAATATGACAACAAAACACTACTTATCCTCACACTCGAGTATATAATAAGAGATAGTAAATACGCTGATCTGCCCAGCCTAATCCTAGTAGAGGTTTATAATAATAAAAATGAACTATTAACTATAAAACCCATAATATTATATAGTATATCGTATAGCAGAAGAAGTAACAGTTTGATTTTAATGGATTACATTAAGCAATTACATTACATTACAGCAATTACATATTGCATTAAGCAATTAAAATTTACAGATACACTACCTAATACCTAGTACCTAATACATAAAACAAAGAATTGTACCATAAAAGAGATCAAAAGTGAAGATAAAGAATTTAAAAACATAAATTATGTTGTATTCTCTTTAACTGACAGTGGCGAATCCATAACATCTATATAACAAAAAAAAAATACATTGAAAATCTCACAGTTGATTTTAGGTTTAAATATATATAATTTTGCTTATATACAAAAAAATACTAGTTATGTTTTTAGAATAAACCAACTAGTTTACTCGTTTCGTTAAACACAGCTTATTTATTCCTTAGTTCGTTTTTTTTACAGTATATAATATTCATATTATTGTTAATTGATAGTGTATTTTATTTTTATTTTATTTTTTAATACACTTATTAGAATCAACAGAATGATACCTAATTTATTTAAATAAAAATATTTCTAAAAAATGTTTCTAAAATAAAAATTTATTTTAATATTTAATAATATAAATAAATGACTACTATAAATTACTACATACCGATAAATATCATTTAAATCGTTAGCAAAATGTTGCTTTTGTGTAAATAAGCTTGGGAATGAACCCAACAGAGGTGTAGGCTTAGGTCCTCTTACACCCCGCTTCTTCCAATAGTCAAAGTTCCATGTCAAAAATACATAAATTAACACAGGCACTGAAGCTAACAAAGCAAGCGTCACTAATGATATCATTGTAAACAAACCAACCCGAAAGTTATTTTTATTTTTTGATTCTTAAAAAGAATTATTTTAATAATCGCACAAAAGTAGCGTCCACATTAAACTAAATTCTAATGTTGAGTGTAGAATGTTTTCATAGCGTTTTGTTGTGAATTTCAATACGTAATTTATTCTCAATTCGCCCGTATCCCATACGTAATCAACAATTTCATATGATAATGAAAAGCCATATCAGAACAATGATTACAGCTGTAGATTGATGAAATCGCGCAACAACTTACAAGTTTGGCATTATAGTTTATATATTTTTTAATATACATAAATGTAGATACAAATTCGAAAATTTGTTCTATTAAAATGAAATAAAAATTATGTTGGCATTGCCGAATACCAAACACCTTAAAAAACTTATGGTATATATTTTTTCTTTAGTTTATTTTTTAACTTAATTTATGAAGAAATATTGTTATATGAGTACTTAATAACTGTAGTTACTCAAAACTTTATACAAATATTTTTTTTTTGTTTGCATAAGGCGGAATTCGAGACTTGGACCCACTAAAATCATGTCTTAGGAATGAATTTAGAAGATTGTAGCCGCATTCAGCGGATACAACCCCATTCTAATAATCAAGCGAGAGAGAGAGAGAGAGATTAGAGCAAGAGACTTTATACCTAGCGGATTTACATAAACACTATATTATTTTTTGTTAGTGCAGTAAAAACGCACAAATATGCTTTCTAAGACTAATTTATGTATATAATTAATTTTATTTTAAAACTAATATTCCCATTACATTAGTCTTCTCGTCTTTGCTTGATGAAACGCGAGTTAGTGTTTAAAGCACTTTTACCTAATAGCGTCTGGGAACAATTGGTGATCCATTTTAACAAGAGTTTGCTCAAATTCTTTCTGATGAAATATATATTGCATTTCATTTAAGAGAGTGTAATTCTGAATTAGTATATGTATCCACAGAATTAAACAGTTTCAGCACACTTTTGCGTAGACCCGCCTCTCAAGTTTTTATATATAAATTTATTTTTGATATACCATGGAACTTTTAGCATACATCTTAAAACCATATTTTGATAAGTTTGAAGTTTTTTAATAGTTTAATATTTAATGAAATAGTTTTGGTCTCATTACTTGCTTATAAAGCAGAGTATTTTATTTCACACTTAACTTTCCTTGTGTTAATGGATTTCGAACATTCAGAGTTATATTACAAGCTAGTTTTTTGACTCTTATATTCTCTAACCAAGTACATCTTCAGCAAAAAGTTAGACTTAAGTATTTCACACTGTCTTCCTATTCTATTTCCATATTATTGACTTCTATAATCGTTAGATTTTGGTTTTTACGTCTTGCAATGACGTCAAAAAACTTTGTTTTTTAAGTATATACTCTAATTCTTTACTCATTATTCTTCTGTAACTCATTATGTTATCAATATGGAGTTTCAAATTGTTTACAATAAAGTTAGCATTTTTGTTAGCATGCATAATGCATGTGTGTCAGCATATCTGCTCTATATAAATTAAAGAAGAAAGAAGACAATTGTCTGGTATGAAAAACATGGCGACTATTTTCAACACTTCTTTTATATGATCATATCAAATGTCTTAATGATATGAAAAAAGTAGATTTCACTTTACTGATAGCATTGTTTATAGTTTTAGAAACTTTTGTTTGCTGGAGAAATCAGTTCTGAACTGAACGGACCTTTGGGAATGATATCTTAAGCCATATTTATATTATTAAATCTTGCGAGTACAATTTTTTCTGCTATTTAACATATAACAGGTAGCAAACATATACGTAATTATATAGGATATAGGTAAAATACTTATTTTTATATTCTCTTAATAATTGGTAATATATTTTATTTATTTTATTAAAATAGTATAAAACAATGTTTTTAAAAATTAACCTTAATCGTTTGAAAAACTTGTCATTAAAAACTGTATCTGACTCTATAAGAAAATTAAATTAATAAAAATTAGAATTATAAATTCTTGAATAAATTATATATAACATGTAATATATGGTTCATGTTAGTATTCAGATCAATAAAAACCTATTGTAGAGTACTTTAATAATTCAATTTTCGAAATAAGGCAATTTTAATATATTTTAAGATAATAATTTTATTTAATGACTACATGCCAACATGTTGTTATTGTGTGTGGGAAATTAGTAGATACACTGCAAAATTTTAATGTTATATATTTAAAGTGTTATAGTGTTATATATTTATTTATATATTTAAAATAATATTTTGTAAAAATATATATTATAACATTAATTTATAATTGTTATTATTACGTATATGATATATATTAATTTTAATAAACGAATTCCCTATAATAGAAAAGTCAACAGGGTTTCTCAACCATGGTTCATTGACGGTCACCGCATTAGTATGACCGGTTTTAAAATATCATATATTATTTTTAGAATGTTAAAATAAAAATTAAAGACTACAGTGTTTCATAATTTTACTATACACTTAACTATATGAAGCTATTGAAAGTATATAACATTTATGTTTTTATCTTTTAAAATATTAATTTTTAGATACATATTGGTGTCGAAATCAAATAATAAATGGTGACATCATGATGATTGAATACCAAATTGGTTTTAACTGAAATCAATGGAATGGTTTTCCAGTATATTAGTTCCTTGCCTCTTCCAAATATTCTTCGCTTCGTTAAAGTGAGTCGAAAATATTTGTATTTTATCAAAATGAGATTGATATGACAATGAACTTGCACAGTCTGAGTGTTATGTTTTTTTCTCTAAACCATTCACAAATTGTGATTTTATTGTGCTTAACTCTCACACAGTGGATTTCGACGTTTTCCACCTACTTCAAAAAAAATTATAGCGACTATATTCTAAGAAGAAAATTTTTCAAAAAACGACCATATTCATCAATATAGGTTTGGAACAATTTAGTATCCTTTTATTAGGATCCGTTACATTTGGAACAATTTAGAATTATTATAAGATCTGCAAATAGCTATCAGATGGCATTGACCGAATTTGTTTAATAAGATGTATGAAAAAGCAACTACAGGTTCTTGTTTATGCAAGTTATAATGATAAAATAACACTTTCAGGATGTTGAACTCTTTTTTTTTAAAAAAAAACACCAAAATCCAACATAATGTTCAGAGTTGAAAAAACAAAAAATCTTTAATAAAGTTTTTATTTACTAATTTCACGCCTATCCAGTAATGTAGAAGTTATAACCTCACGACCGAAGTTCGCACTTTTGGTTGACTTGAACAAGCCTTATGGATTGTTCTACACTGAACTCTTTGTTGTTTTCGAGAGAATTGGCATATTTAAATATCAATCATTGCTGTATAAGAGTGTGGGATCTAAAAATTTATTTTTTTATAATTAAACCATGCTCCAAATAATACTTGGAACTATCAAAATTCTGTTGTCCACTGTGAAAAACATGGCGACTGTTTTCAACACGCTTTTTCCATAATCATATTAAATCGCAAATGATGGTCAAATATGATGGACAAAATGGATTTGTCTTTTGATATCATCAAGGCATTATCTATCTTTATACATTTCACAGTAGGAACATTCAATCTTATTTTCTCAAATTCGGTCGCTAAAAGAATTCAGTATTTAAACCACCGATAAACAGTTACTTTTGACGAAGTAGGGACATTAAAGTCATTAATGACTTTAAAGTCATTATTGGATTATCATGACATAAAATTTCTTACAAAAATTTTATTATTTTTCTTTACTTTCATATGCCAAGAAATATGGCCACGTATCGTTGGAAGGTTGCCACTGCGATACATGCCAGAAAGAACAACAATTTTTCAGTTCACACTGTAAGAAATAATTTTGAATTGTTAGATTATTATTTATGCAAACATACATTCATCAAATATTTTGATATGAAATTTTAACGGATGAAGCAATATAATCTAAAGTCTAATATTGAATTAGCACATCAGAAGTATACTATGGGCTCTTCCGATTACCTTGAGTTAATATTCGTATTTTCAGACGATTGTGAAATACATATATAAGACAAACTAAATTGAAGATAAACTAAAAATAACATTATAAAGTTTTCGTATATTATGGAATAATATATGTTGCTATGCAGAAGTAAAATAATTTCGCCAGATCTCCTAATATTGTTTGCTATATAAATTGTTTGTTATCAATTTTGATATCAATTTATATGAACCGGCATCTTTAAAGCCAGTGCAGGCAACCTTTAAATATAATCATATTTTGTATAATATATTACGTTTGTTTAAATTGCGATTTTAGTTTTATGGTTTTGTTTACAATCAATGAACCACTTGAAAAAGAATAATAGAAATGACTATGCAAAAATACATTCATGACTTCGCCAAAAATATATAGCTACGTATTTAGTTCTTATTTTATTTATCAACTATTAATTAAATGATTCATTATTTGTGTTTAAAAAGATATTGAGTTGTATTTATTATGAGTAAAAATAAATTAATCTGTTCGGGTCGTTAGAAAGTATAACCAATAAGAACCACTTCCATAGTCAAATTATGAATATATTAATATAATTGACATTGTAGCCAGGTGATAATTTCTTCTGTTTTGCTTGATCAGACTAAAGGACTCAGTTACCAAACTTTTGAGATTGAATATCTCGGATTTCTAAGTTTCCTTAATCAATCTACACCGATCTAGTTTCGGACGATCTTTCCTTTTCAACAGTACAAACTCATGATACTCATTGCATCAGTTATTTCTAAGCAAATGCTTCTTTGTAGCCTGATAAGAGAAGACACAATGAATTTAATCAGAGTACTATGCCATTCTACACATACAACATACGCAAGCATTATTTCATATTCTTATAGGTGTGATTAGATGTAAACTCGGAATGAAGAGTTTTTTTCTGTGAATGTGATAAAAGTCTATTGATCTTTTTATAGATGTTTTATATTGCAGAAATTTTTTATAAATTGATTAAACAGCATAATCTTTCTTATTAAACTGACTAAGTAAGACCAACATTCTTTTGAAATTTAAAGACAATAATTTAGCTAAAAACAATTGATATTAAACTAAA